TGAAGCCGCCCACTCCCAATCACCTTGCTTGGCTGAGGTGATGGAAATGTTGCTGCCTTAAGAGCCGGAGGCACATCAACACCAGCATTCTGTAACTTCTGCACCTCTGACAAAAGTCTTCCTTCTTCCTCTTCATTCCTTTGGATTTCAATCAATGGAGGACCGGAGAGAGTCTCAATTACATATTGGTTGAACAACGACTCCTGAATCCGATCGAAGTAAGTGCTCATATGGAAAGAGGAAGCCAGGACCTTAACTATGAGGGTCTTCACCAGCCATATCAAAGTTCCCACCACTAAGCACAGTAGAACTTTGGTCACATATCGAAGAAACCTGCTTCCAGTTTCCTTCTCAACTTTCTTATCAAATAGGAAATGCCAAGCTATCAAGACAAGCCCTAGCCATAGAGAGTTCTGCACAGGCTTCTTGACTCCATAGACGAAATAGAGAACTCGTTTACGCAGCAGAAAGTTTCTCTCAATGAAGAACACTATGAACCTAATAACCCATCCTGAAACTAACCTCCCGCAGATGAGTACTAAAACCATTACTTCCCATTTCCATAGAGGAAGGTTCCACAGGTGCTTCTGCTTAAGTAGCCGAATGGTGAGGGAACAAACTAGAGCAGCAATGAGTAAGATTAAGCTCACCCATTCAAGGATAGTCCAGATGCCGAGTTTTTCCTTCAATCCTTCAGGCAAATCTTCCTCCAGCAACGGATCGTCTTCCTCTTCGTCGATGTGATTGCTTCTCCCTACATATCCAGATTTCAACTGCCCTGACTTCGCAGCGGGCATCCTTCCTGATTTCTCCGGCTGCGAATTCGGCTGCTGCTGCTGCGGTGGATCCATCAACCTGGACTTAGTCTTCTCCTTGAACAAATTGGACTTCCTCTTAAACGACGATTGACAAGAAAACGAACCAACGCCTTCTCTGGAACTGCACTTCAAAACCTCGCCTCCTCCATCACCAGCAGCAGGGCTCCCAGCGTTCGATTGAATCCCGGGAGACTCCTTGAATCTGCTCGCCTGCCTCCTCCTTATCGACTCGCTCGACTCGAAAGAGACTCGCTGGTGAACCGCAACAGGCGACTCGGAAACCGGAGCGAGATGCCGGAGGTGATGCAACCCGTCGTTGTTGTTCCCGTTCTGAAGCTCCGCCATCTCCAAGTCCATATCCAAACAGAACTCCCCGGACGCCTGCTGCTTGTGCAGAAACTGTCCAATGAGCTTCGACGTCGGATCCTCCTCCGGAATTGCTTTCCCATTCTCCCCAGGACTGCTGCTTCTCTGAGCCGGATTGAAATCGAATCTGTAGCTCCCGCTCCCGTCGTCGTGACCCTCAGAATGCTGCTCCTTCTTCCTATCTCTATCCACTCCTTCCAGAAAATCGTAGCTAGATTCTCTCCATATATTCCCGGCCGGGGCCGGAGCAGGAGGACGAGGAGGAGTTCCGTTGGGGGAAGCACCGCCGCCGTTCATCTTGAGGAGCACCTCTCGCCGGTCACTCGAACTCGCGGACATCTGGTTTGGGGGAGGCAATGTAGGTAGTAGGGTGTTTGGAAGCTGGGAAAGTGAAACGGCGATTTTCCGGGATTTGTTGCAGTGGGAAATTCAGAAACTGGCTGGCCTGGACTGGACGCGTGTGCTGTGGGAGATGTGAGTGCTTCTATTTGTTTAAGAAGAAGAAGAAGAAGCAGAAGCAGAGAAGAAAACTTTCACGAAATTGAGTTTTTGAAAAGAAAGGAAGAAAAAAAAAAAGGAATAATTAAAAAGGAGACTGCGAAGGGGAATTATTAGTAGAGAGAGAACCGAAACGACAGCGACGAGTAGGACGTACATACAGGTGGCCATGAGATAGAGGACGCCTGACGGCCTGAGCCCCGACCTTAATGTCCCTTTTTTATTCCGTTTTAGAGGACAAGGTCATGAAAGCCCCTGAAATCTTTTGTATTGGTCGTATAAGTCCCTGAACTTTAATGTCATTCAATCAAGTTCCTATGCTACTACTCTATAAACAAGTGGATTATCAAGTGTCTAAACTCTGGTAGATTGGTGGAAAAAAAAAACTCTGGTAGATTGGTCGAATTAGTGTAATTCGATCATTTAGCTCTTGTTGATGGTTGGTTTGACCAATTAAGCTGGTTTAGTGATGAATCACTTTCCTTAGACCAACTTCAACTCTGTATATGTTGTGCATCTTCCTTGAGCTAGCATTATCAAAAGCGACAAAAGAAAAAGACGCTTACATGCCTTCACACTTATGATGTGTTGTTTTCGATGAATAATTTATGGATTAGGAAGTGTTTCACTCGTGATCAGAATTCAATTAATTCTAAGTTGGCTTGACATAGGAGACTTTTGTGCAAGAGACAAAAGTCTAGGTATGATTCTAACAACAATTTATTACTAAATTTCACACATCTCAAACCATAATATATTACCATAAACTTTATGACTCATCTAGGGGTTAGCCATGCCCATGTGAAAGTCCACGTTCCAACACAAACAATCTGATGTAAAGAGTCAACCAAATTAGTTCGAAGGTAGTGCTTTGTCCCGTTGATAACGCACCTTGATCGATCTTTTCTCTGTTTTGAGCTTCAAACTTCCTTCTGCTCCATAACCAACATATATAGGCCAATGTGTGCAAGCAAAGAAGATGGAGGATGGGATTGATTGCGCGCCACCACTCCAATACAAATTACAAAGCAGATGAGAGATATGTGCATATCCGTTAGGCTATGCAATAATCCGACCCATATCACAAATGGATACGACGAATGTATACAAATTTGGTTCGATGAACTCGATCTACACACTTAATTTAGTTTCAATTCAACCGTAAACAAACTATAGATTATGATTTATATCATGTTTTAACAATTTAAAGAAATAAACAAATTGAAATCAAATTAAATTCTCACATATCGTTCTTATCAATTGAATTGTATCTCAACTTTCGATCCGATTCCAAATCAAACTAAATTGTGCAGGCACGCATTTACTTTGAATAAAAATGTCTTGGAAAAAAATTTGACGGAAGAGTGTATCAGAATATACAATCTCTCTCGTGTAAGTTCAACAACTTAATCATTTGGCCATGTATGTAATCTTTTGAAAGAAAATAGTATATATTCTTTGAACTCTTTTACAAATTCAAGTTATTGGGTCCAACTTATTCTCGACATGATATCAAAATCTTTAACCCAGAGGTATCTTGTTCAAATTTTGATGACTCTCAAAATTAACAATTGAGATTTTAGTACATAATATGATGGGCCTGTATAAACTTCAAAAGACCCGTAAATTTGATTTTTTAGAGGAAAAGGTAGGGATATCAAATTCAATTTTATAAAATTTCCATAATAGCTTAAATTATTGGATTCAATCGGTTCTCGACTAAGTCATGCACACGATTGAACATGGGAACGGGGATCGGCCCCCTATCTGAAGTGGTATCATAGCCTTGAACTGAAATGTCATGGTTTCGAATCTTCATGACCCCCCCAACTCAAATTTAAACAATGGTTTAGCACAAGGGATTGTACGACCGACTTGTGCAAACTGAAAGCCTAATAATTTAGCAGCACACAAGTGATGACATGTTCAACTTGTGCAAATTGTAAAAATCCAAAAAGTTTGGCTTTTGTTTGAGAGGACGTATAAAAGAAATAAAAAAAATTAACAGTCCTTTTACAACAACTCGAGTTATTAAAAGTAAGTGATTTGTTCGCTGTTTCTTCATTCGTCCTTGTGAGATGTCGATTACCTGCACAAAACTTGCGACTGGAATGATGCAAACCCATAGATAGTCTTGCATTGCATCTATCTTTCCAAATTCGACAACAGGATGTTTGGGTCCAACCACCCATAAGAAGACGAAAGGGGAAGTGATATAGGAAAGATATCAATCCACATATGATAAATACCAATGGTTAGAATTTAGAACTTAGAAGAACTTGGACGCTAACGACTTCAATTAGAACAAAATGAAGTCGATAATCTTGTCATTTAGTGGGGAAAAGTTACTTAAGTTTTCCAATGTAACAAAACTAACCTTGGTTACTTTAGATTTTCTAGTCATGTCACGTGTGGTGACCATTGTAGTTAGCTCATTTTATACATGTAGGCTAATTGATCATTTATTATGCTGAGGATCACTCACTTTCATTACCTCCTCCTCTCGTAGCAAAAGAAGTAACCCTCAGACTGTAGTCTTCCTATTAGTATGCCAATTTTGGGATTGCTAACAAACTTTTTAAATAGATATAGTAAAACGTTGTACAGACTCTAACTAATTTATAGATTACCTAGACTATTCATTTTAACAACTTTGTAGTCGATCAAAAAATCCAAGCCACATTACCCAAACCACATCCTAACCCCTCCATCCCTTGGTCGATAGCTACTCACGAATTTTACATACCACTTCTTCTTATTACTAATTTCGATGAGTTGTTATGTCGATCTGAAGTATCCAGACAAATTTAGTGGCGTTTATGTAAATGGCCCTTTTTTTCTGGTTTCATGATGACTTTCGGGCGAGTGTACGAATGTAAATGGGGAAACGACATTGATTGGCTGCGTGGGTACTGGGATGTGTCTGGTTTGGAACATGTATAGTATAGGCCTAGGGCATCATCAACCAATCAATCAATAATGGTGACAACATTCTTGGTTGGGAACGACTGAATCTTTATGGCATGGTGGGGGAATGGCTGAGAGGATTGGCTGTAACTTGTTAGCTTTATGATAGGGGACCGATATGGGGGAATGAATGTAAAAGAAGAAATTGGAGAGTTGGCATGGAGAATATTTCTCTAACGCGTATCAGTATCAGCCTGGTTGTGTGCCGTTTGTTTTGCATGGTCAGATTTATGACGAGTCGAAGTAGCCTCCATGTATATAGTTTAATTATTTGTCACAGAGAAAAATGGTACTTGCACTAAATAAGAATGACTAGCAATTAGCAATTACATCTTATGATGTATCATTCAAACCAGAGGAGATATGAAATTTAAAAGTCGAGTTGAGCGGCAAGACTAACTTTTTACATATGTGGTACGAGTAACATGCTCACTTACCAAGCATAAATCAAAACTCGTTGAACCAATGATGTGAAGGGATAGGGTTGGTACACCAATGCTCATACTGAAACTACAAGTACCATTCGTTAAGAATCGTCAACTTTTGACAGAGAGTGAATTGACTGTTCGTTTTTGGAAAGCCATATCATAGTAGTCTTAGTCTAGTCGAGAAAGAAAATGATAGATTCTCCAGCCACCCAAAAAGACAATCCTGCAAGTGAAATGATTCTCATTTGCCAATTGCCAGCATGATTGACAATAACCATGCCATGCCATGCGACGTCTACTGCTCTCTCTCACGCATCACTCACTAGTTTGATAAACGTCACTTCTGGGCCCTGTCCGCCATTCTTGCCGTCTAGTTCCAATCAACAACAACCCAGCTAATAAATTGTCAACGCATCCACTCAACGATTGCAGATCGTCCGTGGCTCTGAGATCCTTCTCAGTTCTCACCAATGAGCTGAGAGGAGGATAACAAAATCCCCAGTTAGCTTACTTAGAAGTTAGAACAACGTCTGGTCTTGTTATATGATATATGCTTGACGTTTTGCTTACTCAGCAACTAACCCACCCAGGCAAAGGACCTAGACGATTAGGAACCACGATGACTTTCTGAAATGGTGAAGTTATGAAATAAGTCTCTCTCAAGGAAATCATCACAAAGACTAATAGAGTTCTACTTAAATCAAGTGAAACTTGCAGAAGGCCAACATTCCTGAAACCGAGTTTTATAAAAGAATACAAGATGATCACTAAGTTAGGCCAACGGTTGGGGCTATTCTCCATTACCTTCCTGCACAAGCAAACTAGCGGAGCACTTTCCAGGCATCCAAGGAGATAGGAGGAACGATTGGTGGTGAAAACAAGTTCACGATGTTTGCCAGTTTTGGAGCAATGCTTGCTGCATTAAAACTGCTAGTATGCTCCCAATCGATATGTTAATCACATTCACCACATCATTGTTAAGCTGCCCAAACAAGAAAAGTACAGCATATAAAGATCAGGGTCATTAGACAAGGCCAAGCAACATGCTGGTATGAGAGAAACGATGACAAATTGTGCAGAATGGTTTGAGTTACTCACCCATTGATATCCTTCCTTATCTTGAAAGACAGCACCTATTATGCTCTCACCAAAGTTTGCGATTTGGGAGGCTACCACACATATGAGTGCTTCAGCTCCATTTATCTGCTTTTAAGTACAAAAGATTAGGGAAACAGCTGAGAGATCTTTGCATAGGAAGCTTGATAAAACAGATGAGGAAGACAAAGCTTGACAGGTAATGAAGTAACTAATGATCCCAGAGAAGATTATTCTTGAAGTACTTCTAAGATTATTGGAGACCTAATAGCTGGATATCATAACCCCACCTTTCCACTCGATCTAAGTAATCCTCTAATCGACCTTGTCATTCCCACTCCTATTATCCTCAGGTTTCCCTTACATCCACATTTAACTAATTTTGGTTGTCTCATCCACTAACGGTGCTGCTTTACTTACAGTTAATGGTTAACATGATATCTCATTGAAGTTCGCATGAGCTTCTCCACTTCATCCTACTCACTTCAAGAACACTTGAAGTTTAAATGGCCCCTAAATGGAAGACGCTCGAAAGACGATTTGAGAAGGATGAGGATATGTGCTTCTGCCATATTAGGGGTACACCGGTTCAAATTGGTTGATTGGGAAGGGTTTGAGTAAACACTTACAGTACCTATTGATATTTTACGCTCGAAACACAATTTGAGAAGGATGAGGATATGTGCTTATGCCATATTAGGGGTACACAGGTTCAAATTGGTTGATTGGGAAGGGTATGAGTAAACACTTAACAGTACCTATTGATAATTACGACATGCAGTTATGCTAACATTCTTTGGTTTGTTATCTGTGATTCAATTACAAAGCCAGAACTTAAACTTGTTTAATGTTTGGTAGGCGAGAAGTTTAGGCAGGTGAACAGTACCTGACCCATAAGACAACCAATCGAAGCAAGAACCACTGCAGCAAGGAAACCAGCCAAAGTTCCCTCAATACTCACAGCACCTTCAGTTCCCCTAGGAACAACCTTGAATGTCGTAACAAGGTACCTGCCCATACCACAACAATTAATCAGAATTAAATACAGTCACAATGGAGCCAAACAAAGGCATCACAGTAAGATGGCTCCACCTAAAAGAACAAGTTGCAGAACTAGATAAACACATCCTCAACGGATGACAAAAAATTCTAATATAACAGCAGACATATTACATAGACAACAATTCCTAAGGAAAATTTTCATCTTGTTGGATGCCACATCGATATTATCCTTGGTATACCTAACTTATTTGTATCTAACAAGTCTAAGTACGTTGGTCCGAAATTCTGCCAGACAAGATGCAACCTTTGAACCTAAAAACTAGCAGTTGAACCAAAATTGAAATCAACTAAACAATTTCTCACCATATCATAGGTCATTACTTACGTAGTTTTGCCATAAGCCTTCCCTATCTCACTAGAGACGGTGTCATTCAACTTGGTACAGAAGCTAGCAACGAATCCAAGCTGCCAAAGCTGAGCAACTTCCACTCCCCCAATTCCATATATGGACATGAAGGCACAGACACAAGCAGCAGCGCTTGAACCAATCACACTGCCAGGTCCCCTTCTCCCTTTCCTCTTCTCAGCAACACCCTGAGCTTCCTTCTGCGCCATTTTCACTTTCGTAACTCCAGTCCCCTGTGAACCGAACAACAGCACAACCCTATCCCACCCATTAAAATAAGAGAAAAATGCCCCCGTCATAAAAACCAAGTAGCCCAGAGATTTCCCGGGAAAATTTCAACGAATCAACGGGGTTTTGGTGGGTTTGACTCACTATGACGAAGTAAGCGGCGACGAGGAGGAACCCAAAGGGGCCGAAAGCGCGCCAAGTGAGGGTTCCGAGCACGAAAGCGGCAGAAATTCCCGGAAAGGAAAGCCCCGAAACCAGAATCGGCGACCCGAGCACGAAGATCAGCAGATTGTTGAGGAGAGCGGATTGCCAAGTCGGGTCAGGCGACTGTAACAAGCCGATGGCCTCCAATACGACCCCTTGCAATGCATTAGGCGGGTGAAGATGATCCATTCTAGAGCTGAATCGCTGCTTTCGGGCGGTTAATAAGCGAGGGACCGAGAGGGGTTTGGCGAATTTGGGGGAAAGTTTAGGAGATTGTGAATGACAGAAAATGGAGGGGGAAGAAGAGGTATTGATGTGCAAGAGTAAAAGAGTTGACTGCGCCATTCTTATTACAGTGTGGCTCTCTTATTTGGATTTCTGCCAGCAGAAACGTTGCTTGTGCCGTTGTGCGGCAACGGAAGCAGCAAAGCAATGCAAGCAAACTGCTCGCCGCTCGGGCTTCCGCTCTCTGCTGAGATGAGCCCTTTGTTTCACTTTGGTTTGGGTGGGTATATTATTTCTGAAGATCCAAGAAGGGGCTTGCTCCATTAATAGCAAGATTTTGGATACTAATTTTCGACTTTTACGAAGCTTACAGTTCTATGGACCTTCGTATCACTAAAGGTACAACTAAGATAAATATGGGGCATATAATCCACAAATCAATTACTAACAACTAATTTATCAAAATCCAAATTAAATCGTAAGATATGAATTTTTGAAATTTTCATATGTTTATTGTTATTGGCAAAATGGTAAGCTCAAATTGTTATCTTCATAACTTTATCTGGTATGTTATGCACGATGGATTCGCTCACAAATACAAGACACTTATTTCACGTTTAATTGATTGAGAAGAGTTTAGATCGAGTTAAAAGAATTATAAAAATTAAAAACTAAATTGGGCGCATCTGAGCCAGGGCAGATTACACTCCGGATCATGGGCTTCTTCCATCAACAAATTGGGAAGCACAACCTTAATGGGCTTTTAGGACAAACAACAATCCTCGTGGAGTTAAGCCCAAGCCCATTGAGAAGGAATGAGCTTTTTTTCAAGCACCTCAATGTTATCCAGTTCCATTGAGCAGAGAGGATAGTCTGGATAGACTATAGAGGGACGAACCAGGAAATAAATATAGCGAAGGAAGACAGCGATAAAATTTGGGATAGTGAGGTGAAGAAGGAAGGAAACTCACCCCAGCAGGCAGAAACCATGGCGCTGCTGCTACATGGCTCGTCCGCCATTGTCTTACCATCACCATCTTCTTCTTCGTCGGTAAATCCTAGCAGCATTTCCAGCTGTAACATCAGCAGTCCCTTTGTGGTCGGATTCTCTGTTCCGGCATCGACAAGGTCGTCGCAGCATCGGCGGACGTCGTCATTGGTCGTTGTTGCTTCCCAGAAGAGTGCTTTCAACATGGATTACAGGATGACGAGGGATTTTAGGGATTTCAGGATGGCGTTGAAGGAAGAGGAGAAAGAGGAGGAGAGGAAGGAGAGGAAGGAGAAACCCCCTCATATCCCACTCGACCAACGCTGGATGTTCGAAGAATCTGAACTCGACGGTCCTGTAAGAAAATTCAACTCGCTATCTTTGTTGATTTGAATGGTGGACAGTTTGAAATTTTTGGGTTCTCTTTGTTTCTTTCGGTAGTTAGAAAGATTGGTTTCATTTGCCTGGTTTTGGTTGGTTGGTTTGGCAAAGGACATTTGGAACACGACTTGGTACCCAAAAGCAGCTGATCATGTGAATACAGAGAAGCCATGGTTCGTTGTGGATGCCACTGACAAGATTTTGGGAAGGTTGGCATCGACCATTGCTGTTCAAATCCGTGGCAAGAATTTGGCCACCTACACTCCTAGTGTGGATATGGGCGCATTCGTCATTGTGGTATGTATTACTTTGCTTACCCATGCTTATCTCTTTCTTGCCTCTCTCAATTACTGAATTATTAAGATGAACAAGGGATGAACCAACTCTCGATAGAGCTAAAGTACATTTACTATTGTGAGGCTATAAATTGACTGGAATATCTTCTTTTAGAAGCCATGGGGCTGGAGTTGCATGTTTGGTAGTGAGAACCTATATCTCATTGATCAAATTTGTTTGAGGTTAAGAAAACCCTGTAGGTAATAAGTGAGTCCTGATGAACTTCACTAACAAGGTTGTCATTTCAGAATGTAAATATATATTGGGATTGGAGTGTGTTGCATGCTTCAACTTCAGTGACCAGTTTGATGAAAGTTCATACTTATTCTGGTTAGCTTGGCGATGTTATGCTAATGATTCTTGCAATCTACCAGACTTGAAAAGCTTATGGATGATTAGTTCCGTGCAATCTGCATCCCGAAACCTTATTTTTATCAATCTTTTCATGGTCATGGACACAATTAATTGATTTTAGTATTTTACATTTCACTTTTCAATTCTTTATTGGATGCTAAAATGATGCTGTTAATGTGACCACACCTCACTCTGCTGTGATATTTCACTATCTGGTGATACTTCTAACTGATGTGATATACCTTTGGCTGCTTCAAGGTGAATGCAGAGAAAGTTGCTGTATCAGGGAAGAAGAGAACCCAAAAGTTATATAGGCGGCACTCTGGAAGACCAGGTGGTATGAAGATAGAGACCTTTGATCAGCTGCAACAAAGGATTCCTGAGAGGATCATTGAACATGCTGTTCGTGGGATGCTTCCTAAAGGACGGGTAAGTGTTGAAGTTTTCAACTGATGAAAAGAAAAGAAAATTCTATTGAACAACTTAATATTGGCTTTCTAGAGTTGCAGAGTTGTTTTGAAGGTGGTATGTACGTTTCAGCAATACTGCTCAGCTTGGTGTATTTTTGCAGCTTGGCAGAGCATTGTTCAACCACCTTAAAGTTTACAAGGGCCCGGACCATCCTCATGAGGCACAAATGCCAGCTGAGTTGCCGATTAGGGACAAGCGAGTGCAAAAGCAGAGCTAGATTTTTGCAGCTTAAGTGACAAGTTTCAGATGGTAAAGCTTTGAGCAATTGCTAGTCGAATGCGGTCAAGCAATTGGTAGACTACCGCTGTGTTGTTTGTTTCATGTATGTAGTTTGCTGCAGGCTGTAGCCGATGTTTAAGTGCAGTTTGGTTGGTTCATGTAGGTTGAGGTCGTTGTTTGTATTTACCAAATGAATCTACATTGTATTTTGCCTTACAAGTTACAACACAAGGTAACCTTACATTGGATCAGAAAGATGAGAATTTTTTTGGCTTACCGGTGGAATTTAGCTATGGAATGGGGTGTGTTTTTCGTGGAATGATGTAGCAACGCCAGATATTTCCTTCTTGAGAAATTTTACAATGCTATATAGTATTGGTGCTATAGGTTTTTGCCTTCATGGTACAACTTAAAATTGTACATTTACGTTATGGTACAACTTCAGATTGTACCTATACTTTTTGTACAAATTCTTGTATGGTACAACTGGAACTTGTACCTTTATGTGATGGTACAACTTAAAGTTGTAAAGTTGTACCATAACATAATGTTACAAATTATTTTATGGTACAACCTAAACTTATACATTTAATGTTATGGTACAACTTTAAGTTGTACATTAAAACACCAATGCTATATAGCATAGTAGAAGTGCTCTTCCTTCTTTTGGTAATCATGTTTATGAAATTCCATCCAAGCTTGCTCCCTTTTGTTTGTGGGATCAGGAGGAAGTTTCTGTTGATAGGCCCCCGGTACTTTTTTTTTGTAGAAGTAGTTAGACTTAAAAATCGCTCATCAAAACGACAATATTTTGGGAAACATTCGTTCGAGTCAGATCGTCTCGACCATTTCAACAACCGCAGAATTCAAACCGCCCCTGACGAGAAACAACAGGGACGGACTGCCTGTTACAGTGTTACTGACCGAAACATTACTCAGCCTCATTTGTAAGGCAATCATTCACATCCTTTCGATTCGGATTCCAAATTCCAAATTGAGTTCTACTATATCTATACATCACACATTGTTTCATTTCAAGTTGTCATGAAAACAAGCCATAGTTATTTATTTAATTAACACGCGACATTCAAAGGTATATTAATTAAAATACTTTGTGTACATGGAGGTGTTTATATTAACAGCCATGCCCCTGCCCGATGTTTATACAAATGAATGAATAGTATTTATTTAATTAACACGCGCCAGGCAGTATTACCAGTTAATCAATAGCAAATATCAAGAAGTTGACATTGTAGTTAGTAGTTTCAAAAAAAAAAAAATTAGTTAACCTGTTTCTTTTTCTATTTAGAGAAGTCGAATCTTGAAAGTCTTCTTCTTTCTTTAACTTGCTCTATTTTTCGTTTCACATGTGCATGTTTTTCAAGGAGGAACAGCTGCATACCCAACTATCATTTAATAACTCGATTCTTTCCCTATTTATTGAGCTAACAACGAAAGCCTGCAACTGTGGAGACAACGACTAAGCTCAAGAGGAAGAGGAGGAAGAAGAAGTGTTGTTAGAAATGGCGGGACCGGAGGCTGGAGGTTCTCTTGCAGTTCCTAACGTTCAGCAGCTGGCTTCCAGCTCCAAGGACGTGCCGATCAGATACATACGTCCTGAACTCGAGCTCGATCAAGTTTCCAATGATGAGAACTCTCAGATACCAGTGATTGATATGAGCAAGTTAGGTGGTGGTCTTGACGATGACGATGATAGCGAATCGGCTAAGTTGCACTCGGCTTGCAAAAATTGGGGGTTCTTTCAGGTATGACTCGCTAGCCAAAATTGTTGATACTTTTCCTTAGCAACTCAAGTTTTTGAATGATATGGATTTTATATATATATGTGGAACATGGGTCAAATTTCCCAAATTATTTTCATTATAGGTTTAAAAATGTTTCCCCTTTGGTTTTTTTCCATGTAAAAGTAAGTGTTACAACAACAGAAGTTTATAATTGCACAACAACTAGGTCAGGTTGATATGCACTTAGCACGTGACGGGCATCCGTATTGAGAACCCTCCCACATGCCTTATTGTCATTCCTATAGTATGATGTATATTTTTCGTCTATCTTAGTTTTTCATTTTTATTGTGGATTCCATGAATAATATGTCATCATCATTTTAGAGAATTGTCATACAAATAGATCCTAAATTTGATCAAAAAGAGAAATTGACATCATGTTAAAAAATCAGGTGATGAATCATGGAGTGGCAGAAGAGTTGATTCGGAAAATGAAAGTAGATGTTCAGGAATTCTTCAGCCAACCATTGCAAGAGAAAATGGTATGTGCCCAACTACCAAATGACATTGAAGGATATGGACAAGCTTTCGTTGTATCGGAAGAACAAAAGCTTGATTGGGGTGACATGCTCTTCATCCTTACACGACCTGTAGATGGAAGAAGAATGAAGTTTTGGCCAAGAATTCCCTCTTCTTTTAGGTTAGTTCCCTCACATCACTATGCCAAATGGATATGCATCTTTACTCTTAAATTTTAACTTGACTTGCTGATAACCAATTGAAAGTGTCGCATGAAACCAAAAATAAGTCTGGTGTGTTCTTGATATGAAACCCAACATGAATAGTTTCAACCATTGTTTGATAAATCAAGTCGTATGGACTGGATCATATAGTATATTCTTGTCAGGATTATTAACGACTCTTTTTTCCATTAAACCTTAAAATGTGAACATTACATCTCATATATGGCTTCATAAACATTGTTTGAACCACTTAATTAGGACCCAAACTCGATCGTCTAATCGACAAATATACCAAATTAATAATTTGTTTGCCTGCAGACCCAATTTTCCATCTCTGACACCCATTAACAAAAAGGTTCTGGTTTGCCATTTTCCCCACCAGGGAAACTATGGACCAGTATTCAACAGAGCTGGAAAAGCTGGCTAGTAGCTTGTTGAGTTCCATGGCTAAGAACCTCGGACTCGATCCAGAAAAGCTACTCACTTTGTTCAAACAAGGTATGCAAGGTATGAGAATCAACTACTATCCGCCATGTGAGCTCGCTACCAAGGTCATTGGCCTCGCCCCACATTCCGACGGCACTGGATTGACTCTACTCACTCAAGTGAATGAAGTACAAGGTCTGCAAATCAGGAGAGACGGGAAATGGATTCCCATTCATCCCATTCCAGGTGCATTCATCGTTAATGTCGGTGACATCATAGAGGTAATTAAGTAATAATAACATAAAATCAGGTCAATTGCAGCAGCAGCTGAATATTCCTTAACATACTGAAAATCGACTCATTTCGATAATAACGTTGGGTATGCGTGGATGACAGATCATGAGCAACGGAGAATACAAGAGCATAGAGCACAGGGCAGTGGTGAATCCCGTCAAGGAGAGACTGTCCATTGCGGCGTTCCACAGCCCAAATTTCAACGCCATGATTGAGCCATTGCCAGATCTTCTCCTCAAGGATCATGAAAAGCATGCGCCACATTACAAATCCGTATCGCACCAGGATTATCTGCAGCTTGGAGCTAGAAGTAAAATCGATCGCGAAAGTCGCATTCATCAGATGAAGATACAACCGCCAAGCGGGGCAGTGAAAATTGAAGGCCCTCCATCCATGGTGGAAAAAAGTACGTACGTAGCGGGTGTTGGACTGGTGGAGGAAGACGAAGAGCGTGGAGGTTGTTAAACCATTGTTAACTCATCAGACTCGTTCAATAAATTGTGCAAGTCATATTGTGGTTCAAATTTTTAAGTATAATACATGAAAATGGTCGTTATTTTTTACAATAATTTGAAATAAAAAATTTTATCAACTCTTTAATTTTTTTTATTCTACGTGAAATTATTTCCAATCATCATTGTTAATCCATTAACAATGTCTTATGTCATTTTATAAGACAAATAGGATTTTAGAACACACATAGTACTTTAACGATGACATGATGAACAAAAATATAAACATGCGAATATTGATCGATGACTAGCACTAATATTAGTTAATAAATATAAATGAACCGTCATCACTTTAATAAATTAGTCATACACCACTAATTCATCGAATAATACACGATTGAATCCAGGATGGGCGGCCTTGTAACTCATATTGTTAATACGCCCCTCAAACGAAAGTTTAATTGTGGATTTTCAGTTTGCATGGATTGAACATATCATCTATTGTGTTCAAACTATTGTTTATATTATAAGTCGTCATAAAGATTCGAAATCATGACCTCTCAACCAATAGCTCTAAATCTGAAACCATATTAACAAACAAACCACTTAATCTCTATAACTCTAATTATTGAAAAAGTGTATTTAATTTATTTTGTCTATCATAGGGGCATAGCAGCTAAGTTAAGTCCTCCCAACTATGACTAAACCACATTCTAGGAAATGTATTGGAGATTCTAAATCTAAATGTCGTGATGAAAGAGGAGTTTTTGGATTACTTGTTGTGTCGTTGTAGAACCCATTCAGTATAAACATGTCTTATTTCAGAACTCTTGCAAAAATTCTTTCATTTCATTTTAAAATACATCTTGTCAATTAAAATTAAATTCTAAGTTCAAACCTCTAAACTATGAATCTTTCCCATGATTAGTCAATGTGTGATTTGCCCCGTTAGAATCATTATCTTTTTTATAGAAAAATGGTGGGGAGATAAAAATAAAATAATAATGTGAATGGTGCCTGACGCGACGCCGGGTTAAGGTAGCCACGCGAAAAAGCGATGGCGCGTGGAGTTCCTCCCAAGGGCGCACTAGTGTGTCCGAAATGGACAGTCCATTCGAAACGTGATTGGATGATAAAAAATAGACTGCGTCACCAGTCGCCACCATATCATCCATATCCCACGCGCACCCGATAAACGCTCCTCTTCCTATTTTCACTTATACTACCGTAAAACGAAACGGAATCCCATTGAATAAGCAAAAACGAAGGGAAATCGAAATCTGACTTGCCTCGGACTCCGGCGACTTGACAGCGGCGGCGGTTAGCTGCTCCAGGATTCTTTCTCTTACTTTCCTCATCGAATTTCCATCTTTGTTCCTCTATCCGCCATTTCTCCAATCGAAATGGCTCCACGCCTAAACTCTCGCGCCGCCGTGGCGGTGTTGCTGCTGGCAATGGTAGCGTCGTCATTCCCTGCAGCCAGAGGTATATGGTTGTCGATCCCTAGTTCGGGAACCAAGTGCGTCTCCGAAGAGATCCATAGCAACGTCGTCGTTCTAGCTGATTATTATGTCATCAACGAGGAGAAGCCGGAGCATGTGCCGAAGGTTTCTTCCCGGGTATGAAATGTTTTTTTTTTGTGTTGTTGTGGAAATTGGAAATCGGTTTCTAGATTTTGTTCAATTGCTTAGCTTTGAATGCTTTGATTTCGTGTTATACCTTCCGGAGCTTGGAATTTTCATCTGGGGTTGACTCAATTTCTTCTTTGGGTTAGCTCTGATTCGGAATTGTGATAAGCTTGTATCTTATTTTGTGTGCTCCTGAATCTGATAACCATACAAGTCCTTATTAAATGTTAGTCAAATCACCTGAGATGATTTCTAGCATCTTGCTTTATAATCATCTAGTACTTAGAGGATTGTAGTCGATTGGTACTCAACGAAATGATGAAGCACAAATGATGGAGCATTTGAGATTGGCTCAATGAGATGGCAACATTAGTTGAACTGCTAGGCCAAGCTCTTACTGGGTAGATCCCTGGTCTACGCGGTTGCCAGTTTGCAGTGCAGGCAGCATGTGATATTGTTTGATATGGTAGGGAGGAAATGAAACTATGGATTTTGTGGAAGAACTTATGTAGGAACAAGAAGTAGCCCACTTATTCATTGTATCCTTGTAGGATTGCGGTAGAAACCCATTAAAGTTTTGTTTTTTAGCACCTCTCGAGTTTTCTGGTCCTCTAAAGCAGCCCTCCATAAAAATAACATGCGGATGCTTTAAATGTGTTGTGGACTTTTGCTATATCTCAAAGATCCAAGTTTAGGCATACATTATGCAGCCTGTGTAATATGGTTCTCATCAGGCTCTTATGTCATGCTTTTCATTGGTTATTGATTACCTACTGGTGTACCTTTTGCATCTGCTGATAAACATAGCCTTCTCTTATATTTCCAAAACTATTCTGGACACTGTATTGAGTGGTTCAGCTGTCTTTTATGAATAATCTGTGAGTTTCATTTTCTCTTCAGGTGAGCTCCTCTTATATTAGCTGCAGAAGTATGCTTACAATCCATTCCTCATGTGTCGTTTTCTCCATGAAATCTTATTTCACATCAGCTCTTTTATTCTTTTCTTTAGCAAATTTACACAGAGAAGAGTAATCTCTCTATGATAATTGATAGCTAGCCCTTTGGTCCTGTACTTGGAATATGAACGATTTTCAAATATTTGTTGTACAAAGTCAGCCCATAATCATTCCCGGATCCGTGCTTGATTTCCAAAATGCTGCCGCAGTTTCTCCTGATATGATGACATAAACCAGTAGTAGAAATGACAAAGCTTAGCCTATAGCTAGCATCTAGACTAATATTAATCTAGACTAATATTTTGGGAACCTGTTTCATTGTGCTTAACATAGGTCTCTGTTTGTTGTAGGTGACATCCCCATATGGGACCGATCTACACCACCAGGAAAATGCGACACACGGTCAGTTTGCCTTCACGACTAGCGAAGCGGGTAACTACATGGCATGTTTTTGGCTGGACGAACATCAGGAACATGTCGCAAACGTAAGTTTGGGTTTGGAATGGAAAACCGGGATTGCTGCAAAGGACTGGGATTCAGTGGCGAAGAAAGAAAAGATTGAGGCAAGTCTATTATCAATACTTTACTGCTGCAGATTCTGCTGTGGAGATCTCGTCTATCTGAGAGTTACTTTGTTTCTCTATTATCTGTTTATTGATGTGTTTTACTTATGGTGTAGGGTGTTGAGCTTGACCTAAAGAGGCTAGAAGCATCTGTAGAGTCAATCCATCAAAATCTGATCTATCTCAAAGAAAGGTACACACTTTTAATCGATATATTTTACTTCAATCAGGTGTTATCAGTTAGCTTAGTATATAGCGTGGTAACTATCTTGTCCATCCTGCATACTGGTTTTCTTGCCGTTCTGTGACTTTGTTACCTCCAATTCAGTAAGGCAAGTTCATAGACTTAATAAAGCATAAGTTGTTTGCAAAACCGTGAAACTAGTTAGTATATTGCTGGGTTAGTAACATTAGTAGGCCTTGTACAATGTTGTTTTAACACACTAGTCTTTATACTATGTTGTTTTAACAAGCATGCCACTGGAGTATGTCACTTATCCATTTTTAGTCCTCTGTTGAAAGTTTGGTTGTTAAGTGAGACATCATTAGTAATCTTGTTTAGGCCCCTTAATTTGAAACCCAGACACTGTATGTCCTCTTGTTTAATTACTACGGTGCACCCTTTATCTGGGGCTTGGTTGAGGGCAAAACACAGATTTCCAGAATACGTGATATGTGACCCATTAAGCAGGTGCATATTAAGCATTCATCTGCCGCACTGGTAATGAGTTTGGGCAGAAGTTTTCATGTGAGGTGCTTGAAACGAATGCAAGCATAGATAAAAGGAGCTAGCATACTAGTATCTTATTTTTGTAGCTGTAGAATTAGTTGAATGTGTGAAGAAGGATATGGAAAATGGCTTAGCTCACATCATCACCCAAGTTTGGAACCTTGACAACGCATGACAGTTAACATATCTAAGCATCTATGGTTACTTACTCCAAATTCATCTGGGTTATTGTGGCTTTTAAATTGACAGGGAAGCAGAGATGAGGGAAGTGAGTGAACAGACCAACGGGAGAGTGGCTTGGTTCAGCATCATGGCACTTAGTGTGTGCATTGCAGTTGCGACGTTCCAGGTGTGGTACTTGACGCGGTACTTCCAGAAGAAGAAGCTAATCTAGATTCCCTAAGCTCAGTTCATACTCTTTTTTTTATCTTCTTGATAGTTTGATACATGAATAGTCAGGCCTACCTTCTCCAAAAGATTGTACACATAATGGTCTCTCTTTTCCCCACCTTAATCATACTTCTTTCATTACTGTTGCTTGCACATTTCTAGATCTTCCTTCATGTCTAGGTTGGGACTTTTTCTCCTAGTCAATAACTAAATTAGAATTGCAACATAAAATGTTGATGAGAAGGGCCAGATGAAAATAGACAGATCAAGTGATCATGCTGTACTGATCTCAAAACTAAAAAAAAGCAAGGGCATGGTCCTATCGGTCCGATAATCGAACTGTATGCCTGAATTGGCACACGACCAAATTTAGTAATCTCAATGACCAAATGTGTCATTTATTCGCAATTTTTGCATTACTTTTTGTTATCAAACCAACTGAAAGATGTAAACGCGGACATTAAAGGTGTAATTAGGTTGAAGACATTTAATGATATGATTGATATTGTCTTTCTGTGTGTACAATCGTTCGAATATGGATAGACTCATTTGGGTTGGATTCATATGAGTTACTCCAAATTGGGTCCAATTCAAACCCAACCCAGAACCATTAAAAATACAATCAAATAGAGATCAAATTATCCAACGAGTATAGAGTAGTAGACCCATTTCCGTTCCTAATGGAGGGTTAGGGCACAAAATCATCATCAACACACGCTCATTAATTATACTGATCAAGAAAACCCAAAAGTTACTTCCAGAACCATATAAAACGATCCCAACCCCCTAACAGGATTGATCATGACTCCAACACAAACCACAGTACAAACAAACTGATTGTCTGATCACCAACATATTAAACCTAGCTTCACTTATGAGCTCACTTCAGATTAAAGAACAACGAAATTTAAAACACACATGACGCAAGAAAATCACAGAGATCTAGCTCTCAACCATCTCGCCCAACCCATTTGAATCATATCCATTGCTGATTGTTAATCAGTTGCCGCCATTATTGGGACGACCACCAGCACCGGCGCCGTTTCCAGCCTGCCTTGCCCTCGTTCTCTCCTCCTCCTTCCTGTACTTGATTCCACAAGCGTTGCACAGTGTCTGCAAAGAAAGAAAGAAGAAAGAAAAACAAACCATAGCAGCCAAAAATGTAACCATGAGTCCGTTTTCTTTTTTTCTGGATGATTGACATCGGAGGTAGGGCTTGGCTTCAGTTTTTTTTCCCCCTGGTTTAAACCGAAATCGAACCGATCAGAATCTTGTCAATTTTGTTTCTTTTGTCCCGAATTGGTTTGGATTTATATATTGATGCAGATCTAAATCGAAAAATCAATAAGAAACTAAATCTGAACCCGAACTTTGCTCTAAGCAAAACTTTTAAAAATGGGTACAAGTTTTTTTTTTTTGTTAGCTCAAACCGTTACTGGACTCGTTAAGAAATTTATCATCTTTCGGGTAACCGACAAGCCTGTTAACGGGTTCGGTTTTGAGGAAACAGACTAAATCGGTTTTGGGTTTCGATTCGGTTAGCCGAACCGAACCGAGATGACGCCCCCCCTAGGTTTTGACGAAATGGTTAGGGCAACGAAGAATGCATACCTTGGGGCCATGTGGGCCGCGGCGCCACATGGGAGTGTCGCAGCCACGACAAACCAGGCACTTCTTGCCCGGCGGGAAATGGTTCCCCTCCCTCCGCCGGCGAGGCGTTGTAGCACCACCAGCAGCAGCGCCGCCGTTGCTGCCGCCTTCTCCCGCCACTTGCGGCGGCTGGTACTGATGATAGCCGCTCACATTCACGCCCGCCGAGGGTGGGGCCAGCTGTAGCACTGGAGCAGCACCGTAGTTGTCGCTAGTACCAATGTATCCGTTAGGGTTGTACTGGTACATCTGTGGGGCCCTTCCTGCATCAAACACGTGGCTGCCAGCTGGATTCACCGGCCCACCTGCACCCTGCTGCATCAACAACATGTTGAAGTTATCGGCCACCGCCGCAGGAGGAGAAGGAAGGTGGTGCATGCTGTGGCGGCGGTTAGGCGCTGCCCTCGCCGCCGGCGTCAGCCAATTAGCCATCCCTGCGTTGTTGTCGATCACGTTGCTGCTGCTGTTGACGGCGGGGGAGTAGATGTAGCCTCCAGTACTACTGGTGTGGTAATGATAGCTAGGGTTGCTGTTGGTGTAGTTTGGCTGTTGATCGAAGAACCCAAAAGCCGAGGGAGCTGGATGATTGGGGCTTTGTCCATAGTATTGCTGACTCATCCTCCTGCCCTACAATTTCAAAACAGTAATCGAGTTAGAACCATGGAAGCACACCATGCATGTCAAAAACAATCAGTTGTAAAGCCAGAAATTTGAAAGGGGGACAAGAGTCTTACTAACTTAGTCTAGTTTTCCCGATTCTGTTGTAAATTTTACATATGAATTCACCTACACTTTGAAAGTTGAGAGGGGTATAGCCTCTCCTGGATACAATCTAGATCTGCCACTGACACTAACTAGTGTATGACTCACTTCCCACTTGACAGTGATCAAGCCAGAAATTTGAACGAGGGCATCTGACTTGAATTGTGGTAATTAACTAAGAAAGATGGGGTTAAACCCCTCACTGATTATTGTAATTCCTAAATCTGTACAAAATTTAGTTGTAATTTTGTCTATATTTCAAAGTTGAGCAGCCTACAACATCTTTTAACTTCAACCCAGCTCCACCAGTACTGACACTTGAGTGGTGTGTTTGATGAGAATTTCTAGCCCAATGAAAAATGAAGAAAATGTATGTACCTGAGGATGAGTGTTTGGAGAACTCTGTGGAGCATGGTTGTGGTGGTTGGGGAAGCCCAACGACAGGTTCAGATCCAAGCTCCTCGATGTGGAATCTCCTGATGATGATGATGATGAGGCAGAAGCAATTCCTTTTCCCTTTCCATCTCCATCATTGTTTTGTTGTTGGGAAGCCATTGGAAACTTCGAAAGCTGGCTGAAGAAAGGGGAGTAGGAAGGAGAGGGGGAAAGAAAGACAATGGCAAGAGAGTTATGGTCTTAATCAAGAAAGATTGTATCCAAGTGAGGTTTACAAGCAGTGAGTTAAATCAGGGTTGATCGGCCTTCTCTTTATAGACAAGTGGTGGGAGAAAAAAAAAAAAAAGAGATTATCTAGAGCATGTTTAATTTGATTCTACTTAATACTAAGTACATTTGTTTTGATTAAAATGTTGATAGGGTAATTAATATGTGCACAAGGGTGTCCAAGACGTGTAAAACATAAAGGAAGAGCAATAAAAGTGAAATTAAAAGCTATGAACCATCAAATTATTAGAACCAAGTTCCATGTGACAAGAAAAAAAATTGGTTCCAATTTTACCCGCAGCCATAATAAATATTATCTCAAAATACATGAGATCTTTCTTTTTCAGATATACAAAGTATCGATCTACAACGGGCAAATCGTAGTTTTCAAATTTTACGTTAAATAAAACACGTGCTAATAATACGGTACTGACCAGATGAGGATATGTGTCATGATCATTGATCAAAGACCAAACTAATAAGAGCATCTACTTTGGTATTGCATTCTCAATTGCAAAATGACATGACATAGGTGTTTGCAATTGCAAAACCAATTGCATTGATGTGGCTACCAATTACATATTTGCAAGCTTGCAACAAATGCAATTTCATATGCGAGTCAAAAAAGCCTACAAAAATGGGGATTTTTTACTTTATATTATTTTATTTTCTCTTTTACTTAATTTTCTATAATTTAAACATAATATTTAATTACATTTTCAATTGCAAGTTAATTGCATTGATGTAAGTGAATGAAATGAATGTGATGTGAATTGAAAAAAATTTGAATTGACAATAAAAACACAAATGTAATTTCTTTTGCAATTGCATTGATGGGATGCTCTCAATTTTTTTTTCAATATGATTCTCACAATTCTACACTAATAATCCCTAAACCATTAGTGTCCATGGTAATTTGGTAAAGAGAAAAAAAAAGCTGAAACAAACACACCCAGTTTGTTCTAATCCAAATCCTTCCTTGGATTCACTGATGAGCAGGGGGGTTTCTCACGCAAAGGCATGCATGGAAGGTAGTGGGGGGGGAAAGGACAAAAATTGAAAACTGGATGACTGACACCACTACTGGATTTTACTGCATAATGCCAAAGGAAAGGTAATGATGATCAAAAGGGTAGCATTTTGAACGTGAGTTAGCTAGGGTTTCTGTCTCGGTAATGCTGATCAGTTTTTTGGAGCTATTTACATTCTGTTGAGTTCAACTTGTCAAAATTTACCGTTGTGGGATCCTATCCTCCATATCAGCAGCTAGCCCTCAAACAAAGGTTTCAAAGAAGAAGAAAAAAATGGATTGAACAGAGCTAGGGATCAAATGTTACATAACACAAATCGAAGAAACTAAGAATGAAGCAATCTAGCTATCTCATCACATATAGCACAATCCACATTCAAGATGTTACATTTCAATATATATATGTAGACATATACTATGGAGCCATCATATGTTTGTCTAGACACGTATACAAGATGATGTAAAAGTTTTCCCATATATCGGTTTTTTTTTTCACGACAAGATGGATTCTCTGTTGCGATCTTTTATGGGATGTCGCGTCTAACTGTCAGAGACAAACTATACTATTATAGTGAATAAACGACAAAGTTTCGTGAAAACAAACAAACAACTGATCGCAAACTCGTTTCTTTGAAAGTAAATAAGTGTTTACTCGGTCCTAAAAGTGAATACCAATTTTTTATGAGCGAGGAACCGTACGTGTGTGGAAATGTTTATTCAGACAACCAAAATAGTTACTCAAAGTCATAAATTGTTATTCTTTTTTTTTTACTTAACAAAGGTTGTGAAGGTAAACATATTCACAAGAAAGACCATCACACATAACCCACCCAAAAAAATAAAGAGAGGATTTGCAGTTCTAAAAGGAACTCATGCAATTACAAACAAAAACAAGAAGAAAGAAAGAAAAGGAATCCCAAATGGAGAATTGATAACAAACATTGAAGAAGAAAATTAACAATTGGAGAAGTTCAAGGCCAATCCAACAACGAATCAAGATGAAAGAAATAACAGGGGAAGAGAAGTAAGCACATACAGGTTGATAACTGAGTGGTCTTGCTGGTCTAGCGTGAGTGAGATCTCACTGGTATTGTTGGTGCGCTAGCTGAATCAAATGAAATGTTCACTCTTAATAGTTAATAGTGAAATTTTCAAAAAGATGTCTTATATTACTACATCAATAATTTCTTTTTGAGTAGCAAGATGAATTTTCTCTTGCAATAATTGATAAAATCATGATTTTCTTCTCTTTAATTGTTTTCCATAGCCAAATATCAAGATTTTCCCAAATGGGAAATCAAATCTGTGACTAGATATCAGATTTGGAGTTTATTCTTTTAAGGTATATACCACTGAATTGACCAATATTGACTTGTGTTTGTGAGAAAAGACAATTGGAACTTTACAAGGAAAATTGAGAATAACGAACAAAGAAGACGAATCGATAACAATCACACAAGTACACAGATATAAAACAAACAAGAGTTAAGATGAAACTAATAAACGAACAGAGACTCACATGTTGATAACCGAGGGAGGGTCCTAGTAGTATAGCATGCACGAGATCTATCTTGGTATTACTATGTACGTGGTCTCCACTGCATGCATCGTCCGCTTTTAAGAGCAGAGGCCAAGCATGCAAATATGGAAGATAAACTATTTTTCTTTAATCTTAATTATTAAATTTTTTCCCCAATACAGTTGTGAATGTTATTTATGACGTAAGCATCAATCAAAATGTCAAACCAGAATGTCGTTCCCCTAATGCGATTCAGAATTGATGTGTTCAATTCCCGATAACTTTCTATTAGTATTTTTTTAGATAAGGGTGATATAGGGTTTTTTTTGTTATTAGGTACACTACTGAAGGGATTTGAACCTGGTACCTCCAGGTTCATGGCTAGTGGTATTACCACTAGAACAATCTCTTGTTCGTCTATTAGTATTTTATTTTCCCGTTGTATTTAGATATACTAAATAATACTTGGTATTTTACTTGCGAAGAATATATATGTACACACTGACATGAGATAGAAAGATATTCATCCCAAAAAATAGTAGAACAATAGTAACCAACTCGAAGGCAAAAGAACTTTCCTCTTCTCTCTACTTCTCAAACTCCCTGCTTTCTCTGTACATTTTCTTTTGACATCTTCCCAAGGGTGTGTCGGCACCTCAGGTGACCGACGATATCTCATCGTGCCCCTTTCCAGTTTCTTTCTTCCAGTTTTACAGCCTTCAATAGGCTCTATGTAGTCCTTGTTGGCTTTTTCATTTTCCTAAGTAAAACTCTTCCACAAACCTCTCCTTGTAGATGATTTCTTTTTGCCATATTTGTTCTGCTATTGTTTTGGTCATTGATTTGGGTGTGGTTTCATAATAAGCAAGGAGATTTTCTCTTTGGTTTGCTTTCATTCTGTTAAGATTACGTGCTTCCTCCTTCTTGCTTAACCCGAACAACGTCGTGATTCGGTGGAGATTTGACACTCCTTTTGCGAGACTTTGAACTCTCTTGCTTGTAGTTTGATAGTAGGGTGGTCGTCTTATCATTGGTTGCTTGCCTCTTGTCCTAGAGTTAATCATTGGGTTGCTCCTTCTCGAGTTCCTTCTCTGGCTTCCTCGAGTTGTTGGTTTCCTGGTGAGTGCCTCATCTCTGTTGGTGTTTGTTCTTGTTGTCGCCCCCTCCAACCATTCGGTTGCATATGGTTGCATGTGGTTTCCTGGTGGTTGCATGTGGTTTGTCTGGGGTCTGGTTTTGGAGGCGACTTCATCTTCTTTGGAGGTTATGGTTGCAGCCGTTTGAACTTGCGATGGGATGAAGAGAATGCTTTTGGGTTTCTGCCTTTGTCTTGTGTTAGGTTTGTTGTCTCAGCTTCTTTGGAGGTTGTGGTTGCAGTCGTTTGAACTTGCGGTGGGATGAAGAGAATGCTTTTGGGTTTCTGCCTTTGTCTTGTGTTAGGTTTGTTGTCTCGGCTTCTTGGCTTGTTTTTTATGGGGTTGCCTTTATTATATCTTTATTGGGTCTGGTTTTGGAGGCGACTTCATCTTCTTTAGAGGTTGTGGTTGCAGTCGTTTGAACTTGCGGTGGGATGAAGAGAATGCTTTTGGGTTTCTGCCTTTGGCTTGTGTTAGGTTTGTTGTCTCAGCTTCTTGACTTGTTTTTTATGGGGTTGCCTTTATTATATCTTCATTGGGTCTGGTTTTGGAGGCGACTTCATCTTCTTTGGAGGTTGTGATTGTAGTCGTTTGAACTTGAGGTGGGATGAAGAGAATGCTTTTGGGTTTCTGCCTTTGTCTTGTGTTAGGTTTGTTGTCTCAGCTTCTTGGCTTGTTTTTTATGGGGTTGCCTTTATTATATCTTCATTGGGTTTGGTTTTGGAGGCGACTTCATCTTCTTTAGAGGTTGTGGTTGCAGTCGTTTGAACTTGCGGTGGGATGAAGAGAGTGCTTTTGGGTTTCTGCCTTTGTCTTGTGTTAGGTTTTTTGTCTCAGCTTTTTGGCTTGTTTTTTATGGGGTTGCCTTTATTATATCTTCACTGAACTTGCCCTTAATCTACAACCTTATTGTTGGTTTGTTAATTTAATGAACTAATATTTCGTAAAGAAAAACTCAAAAGCAAAAATGGAAGACACAAGACTCATATAAAATACCATTCCCCCCTTAATATATTTAGTTCACTAAGGAACGACTTCATTCAATATTTCTATTAACTACGTCAGCAAAAATCCGACCCTGTAACGGATACTAACAAAATGTAACAAAGAATGACCCAATTTGTAACTAATGATAGTGACCACGAATGAAATAAAATATTTATAGTAACCAAATGTGTATTTTTATCAAATCGAGTGAGTCAGTGACCAAACTTACAATTTACCATTATAAAATCGTCATCTAGAAAACCGGTTTCGTCAAAAAGAGGGAACTAATGAAAAATAAAAATCTAAGGATGAACATCTATGGATATTGATGGGCTACTCTCCCTCTCGTGGCTGCAATTCCCCATTTCGTCAATTTCGTTTTACACAGTCCCTTCCCCCCGCACTCTTCATTTGACGGGAGCACTTTTGTCTCCTGACAAAATCCATCTCCGCCATAGCCATTAGCCAAATCTCAAAGCTTTTTTCACATCTCTAGCACAAACGAAGGAACCCTAATTCCCACTCGCTTTCCCTTCAGGTGGTGCTGCTTCCAGCTTCTCACTTCTGGCAGCTCAATTCGCAGTCTCTGCCATTTAGTTTCTCTAAAGTCTCGAACTTCCGAATGAAGCTTTGAGGCACTTGTTGCCTGTGGCGATGTCGGTGGAGAGATCATTCGAAGCGTGGGAGGAGGTTCAACGGCAAGGCCATGACCTTGCGGATAGGCTGGCACAGGGATTCACGGGTCTTATTCAAACCCATATGACGAACCCACCTGCGATTCCATGGGCGAACACTCCCAAATCGAACATCTTCGATCTGGAGTTCCCCGGCCACAGTTTTATTAGCAAGTCCATGGATTTGGGAGTATTGGCGGATAACAGAAACTCTGGGATCGCTGGGGTTTCTGCTATTCTGGATATTGGGAACAAGATTGGACAAGCTGGTGCTGAATTTGGAGCTGGCTTGAATGGATTGGTGGAGCAATTCTTCCGGAGGTTGCCTGTTCCATTCAAGCACAACGAGAGTATGGAGGTTGGGGTAAGGATAGAAAGCAGGAGAAGTGATGTCAATTTGAGCGTTGAAGGACAGTTGGACCTGGTGAATACAAAGTTGAAGGAGTTTGGGTTTGTGGAGAATGAAGGGAGATACATCAGTACAGCAGCTGGTGAAGCTGAGGGAGGAACGTCTGATGGTGAATTGGGGACGTTTGATTTGAAGTCCATTGGTCTTATGGGTGGTAGTAAGCCTCAGGTAACTGAGCTGTGCTCTTTATGCTTCTGTCCCTTCCAAAAAGTGGCTGCCTTGATGAACCTCTAGTGTGCTGAACCATTATGATTTGGATAGAATATATGCTATTGCTTTACTACCGTTGTTTCCTTTATGAATCTTTCAAGTGTTTGTCTGAAGATTATGCCTACACGCAGTTGGACGGGAGGTCCTAGAAATCATTGTTCCTGTAATACAATTCCTTTCTAGCCATTATTCCTGTTATGTGGTTCCTTTCTAGGATGTAACATCGAAACGGAATGCATTCCAACGAAGTCTGGCCTCTGGAGTCCATTTGATTGAACGGAAGCTTCATTCTCATAACTGTATTGTAGATAATAAGATTATAGTTTGATAGTCTGCTGCTTGGATTGTAGTTCTGTTATTACTTACTTGACTAAATAAAAATAATGCATTCCGAATATACACAAACTCTTTGGGTAGGGTAGAGGTAGTTTCTCCAATCAGTGTTCACAAGTGAGAGTTATCCAATTAGTAAGTGGTTTTAGTTGGAGCCTTCAGTGTATCAGACCTTCAAACTCATTAAGTGTTGCTGATTTGTTCTGCATCTCTAGTTTTCTGGCTATAACTTACCGAAACCACAGTAAGCTGGCAGTTTTAGCTTATTCCTTGAGTGCAGTGTATTTTGATGGAGGAGCTTATAGTTCTGCTAATAATTACCTTATGGCAGTTTTACTCTGCTGTCCTTGTGTCACAATATTGTTTCTTTATAGTTTCATGCTTTATGCATATTCTATTTTATCTTAATTTCTCTCTATATTTACTACAGGGAACCTTGAATTTTACATCGACTTATGAGAGTAGAACTGGTAATGTGGAGAGCTCTATGGTTGCTAGAGGAGATCTATGGAGAATGGAGGCATCACATGACAGTTCGACATCAGGAAATGAGAATTCGTCTCTCTTCCTAGTTCAGCTTGGCCCAGTACTTTTTGTTCGTGATAGTACACTTCTTTTACCTGTTCACCTATCAAAGCAACATTTGCTTTGGTATGGCTATGATAGGAAGGTATAAATGTTTTTCACTCTGCAGAAACAACCAATCTCGATTCAACGTGCTACATATTTCTGCAAATCCGATGGCCAAAGAATTTTGTTGCCATATACTGTTTTTTTTATCAATGTTCTCCTCCCTGTTTATTCTGCTTTCTTCTTTTGGTAGGTAAATGGGTTCCTTATGTTTGAGCTTGGATGCTTTTATTGTATGATGTATCCTGGCTTCTCTCTCTATTTATTGATGTGCCCTTTTCCTTGAGACCTGATGTGCCCCATTTTGAATATGATTTCCTAACCATAATTCCAGTAGCTATATTCATTGCGTTCATAAGATCTCTTCCTTTCGTCTCTTTCAGAATGGCATGCATTCTTTATGCCCGGCGGTGTGGTCGAAGCATAGAAGGTGGTTGCTGATGTCGATGCTCTGCCTTAAACCATTAGCTTGTGTAAGTATAAGTTGACTGCGCTTCCTGGTTCACTCTCACTACTTGTGAAGTGATTCAGGTGCTCTGGTTTCTTTCATCAATAAAGTTCATCATCACTATAAAAAAAAGTATAAGTTGACTGCTTAGGCAGAAATATGTAAGACTTCGAATCATTTGTCTGTTCCATGTAATTGTTACTATTGGTTGAAATGAATCTCGGTTGGGCGTCAGGCAAGTTTCTCTTAAATTATAGAATCTCATAGCAACTTAGAGAAAGGGACTGCCTCAGCTTATACAATGCGTTAGAGAAAGGGACAAGGAATGTGTGTAAATGTCATGAGTAATCTTTCTGACTTTCCATGATTTTCAAATATGAGCCACTTGGAGCAGTAGTAGTTAAGATTGAGAAAAGCTTTATGGTTTTTAGCATTCACAAGTCACAACTATAAATTATGCCACATGTTTTGAATATTTGAAAATCAATGTGAATCCAGTATCTTACGTTTTCAAGAAGCATGTCCCTGCGCTGGTTTCCTGATAGTTCTCTTGTCTACTTTGTTGTCCGTGTGCAGTCGTTTGTCGATTTGCAATTTCCGAATGGGCAGTTAACTTACATATCCGGGGAAGGTCTAACAACAAGTGCTTTTCTACCGGCCTTTGGGGGGCTTCTGCAAGCTCAGGGCCAATATCCTGGTGAAATGAGATTCAGCTTCTCTCACAAGGTAGTTGTCCATGCTAGCTGACTGGTCCTGGACCATGTCATGATGCTTAAAACGATATTGTGGTTTTCATCTGGGATTGGAATATGAAATGTTGATGTCATCAATTAATTAGTTGTTCTCATCTTACCAGAACAAGTGGGGAACCCGTATAACCCCGGCGATACAGTGGCCTGACAAGTCATTTTCATTGGGTTTTTCACAAAACTTAGCATGGCAGAGATCTGGTCTTATGATGAAACCAACAGTTCAGTTCAGGTTCGCACTCATTCCCATTCATTTCGTTAAATCTCACTAGAAGGGATCGCTGTAATTTCATCAGTAATGTAAAACTTAAATGATTCTCCTCAGTTTGTGCCCTTCATTTGGTGGAAGCAATCCTGGCTTGAGAGCTGAACTTCAGCATTCACTGAATGAGCAGCTGAATCTGATATGTGGTTGTGCGTTCGTCCAGCAGCCTTCTGTATTTGCATCAGTCTCAGTAAGTGCTCAACTTTTCCTAGTGACCCCAAAGTTGAGTGGCTGGTTATGTCACTGGCACGTTTAGTGAAAGTTGAAAAAAGGTTATTGAAACCCGTGCATGCCTGTAATTTGACCTGTTTGTCTTTTGGATTTTGTTTACAGATTGGCAGGTCTAAGTGGAATGGTAACATTGGGAGTTCAGGGATCGTTTTGAAACTGGAGAGCCCTCTATCAGGCGTTAGTCGACCGGCCTTCTCTGTGCAGATAAACAGTGCTGTCGAGTTTTGAAGGTCATTCATCAGTGTAAACCTGCAGTTTCTCCAAAGTGTAAATATTGGTGTAGAACTTACTGCCCACAAAGGTGTGAATACAGACGAACAGACTTTTATCTTGAATGAAAATAACCCATCCTGCAGCTTAAATGGTTACTAGATTTTGATACTAGTAGCAAAATGATCTCTTAACTTCAAAAACTGACGAACTAGTCACTAAATTTCATTTTCTTTTTAGCGAATTGTTCACTTGCCTAACTCCGTTTTAGTTCTCGTGATTCAATCTGCTAACAATGCTGACATATTGCTAAGCAGCTGACCTGGTATGCACATTACTAATATGACATCAACATGCGATGGATGTCTCTGGGAACCTGATGAACGATGCATACGAGAATTACTCCCAGATGAACGATTCATAGGAGAATTACACAGCAACAGGGGAAGAGCTGTTCGAGACGGTGTTTGCTTACAACAGGTTTTAGGTAGCCCAGAACATGGCCGCTGGCACTTTCAATCCATCATTCCCCATTCTTACTGTTATCCATTGAGAGGATAGTAATACACTAAATATTCTGCAGAAAACTCGAAGATGAACCCAATGGACCAAATCAACTTTCTTCATATACAATTAGCATCTTTCACCAAATTTGATAAGCCAAAAAGATAAGAAACTTAAAACTCTTCTCCGCAAATATATGTATAGTTGAGACAAAACTTAACTAATTGATTTGAACTTGAACTTCTGCATTCCTCCTAAAGAAGCCTGGCGGAAGAGGATGGTTGAGAGAGATGGCTAGCATCATCATCATTATCATGGTCATCATTGCTCAAGGCCGAAGATGTTGAATTCATTGTCCACGGTCCATCAACCATGGATATGCTCTTCTGACCTGGATCGCTGCTCTCCCACGACGCATTTGTGATGTTGGTATGGCTGTCCTGCGACAATGTCTGGAACGCTCTGAACCTCGCATCTGCGCTACTGGCATCGCTCTCACCTCGCTTGATGATTGGAGCTTGCACCGGAGCTTTCCCTTCCATCATTTTCACGACGGAGGACGTGGGTGGCCTTAGTGTGGGTGATGGGTTGGTGCACAACAGAGCAATGTTCAGCAGCTTCCTTGCTTCCTCTTTTGAGTAGCTTTTGCCTAGTTCTGGATCAACTAGCTCCAGCAGGTTGCCTTGCTCTTGCAGCACATAAGCCTGCATTTTGGTAATGGATGTACTTTCATTTTATATGTGATGAATTTATATTACTAACAGGTTTAAGTTATGGTATGGATAACCTACCCAATCAAGAAGGTACACAAATTCTTCTTTTGGCCTATAGTTGGTATTGCTCGTTCCACTCATGGTCTCTAGAATGACAATACCAAAGCTGTAAACGTCTGCCTTGTCCGTCAAGTAACCCCTCATAGCATACTCTGGAGCCATATAGCCTCTGCAGGATGGACAAAAAGAACAATGAACGAACAAGAACTGCAGGAATCTGGAAAACATGGCAATGGTACTTCTTTTGACAGAGGGTGGTGGACTAAAACTTACATGGTTCCAGCAATTCTTGTGCTAATGTGGGTGTTCTCTTCTTCATCAAGCTTGGCCAACCCGAAATCCGAAATCTTGGCATTGAGATCTTTATCGAGCAGGACATTGGTTGCTTTTATATCCCTATGCACAATTTTTAGCCTCGACTCTTCATGAAGATAAGCCAACCCCTTTGCAATCCCCAGCAGTATCTTCTTCCTTGTTTGCCAGTCCAGCTTCAGCTTGTTTTCATGCTTACCAAACAATGCGCGTGCCAGACTATTGTTCTCCAAGTACTCATACACAAGCAAGAGCTGGTTCCCTTCTATGCAACATCCATAAAGCTTGACAAGATTTGGATGTTGCAATGCAGATATCATCCCAATCTCGTTCACAAATTCACGGTTTCCTTGTTTCGATTTGGATGAGAGCTGCTTCACTGCAATCACACCTCCATCTGAGAGCATACCCTGCAAACATAGCAGTGAAAGGATCTGAATGTTTGACCATTGCATTATTCATTTTCTTGGGATACAAGCAAACCATTTAAAAGAAAATTAGCTTCACCTTGTAGACTGGGCCAAACCCTCCTTCTCCAATCTTATTAGTAGGATCAAAGTTATTAGTGGCATATTTGATCTGACGTAAGGTGAACATGCCAGTTTGAAGATCAAGCCCACGTAGTTCTGTGGAACACAAGGAAACTGCATCTCAGAACAAAAATGTAATGCTCTGATGTTTTTTTCATGAGAATGTGGATGTGTAACTGTACCACTATTTCCATCGTCTTTTCTTCTTCTTCTCATGAATATGAAAATACAAATGAAGAGAACAACCAAAAGTGAAGAAACTACAATCCCGGCTATGGCTCCTCCAGATAATCCTCCACCTCCTTCATCGACAGGGAAGTCTGCAGATCATGCACAGGGCAAAGCAAGCAATGTTTCTTAAATGCAAGCTGAAAAAGATGTCTAAATTACTGTCTTCTTCATTACTATGAATCACATTGCACTTACTTGGAGTTATCGATATGCCAGAAATGAGAGGTCCATAGACACCTCTATCAGGAATAGCTGTAGTGCCTTTTCCAGACCAGTAAAGGTGTATCTCCAAAGTGTTACCGTCCACAGTTACATTGTCGAAAACCTCAGTGATGTCAAGACCAACTCCTCCAGCTTCTTTCATGATATCAAAGTCCGGTCGAACTACCTTTCCCTATAAGAAAGGAATAGACTAAACTCGTCAAAGGTTGGACATACAGAGGTACTTACATGAAAGCATATCTTATCAAATCTCCTCACCTGAATTGAGATATCAAATATCCGGCTTCCAAGGCTGCTAAATGTCTGATCATTGGAGTACATAATCTCAGCAAAATGAAGCTTCACGGTGTAACTTCCTTTAATCATGCACAAGCCATAGTACTTGAGTGATTGAGGAGCTAAGCGTGCAGTTGAATAAACACCAGTCACATTGTGGCCAAAAGTGTTCCTTGCTAAATAATCAGCATCAACTTTGCCTAAGAAGATTCCAGTACTACTATAACCCCATCTTTCTGATACTGAGAAAAAGTTAGATCGGCCATTGGATGTCAGGTCTTCCTCATAATCCTCATCCTCAAACCTTTCCCTGGGACCCCCACAGTTGATAAAGAAGGTATGTTCTGCACAAGAATAAATCAACTATCAACTTGCTGCTATAACTTTCCCAAGTAGACAAGGAATTTCAGAGGTGTGCTTACCCTTGGGATTCCTAGGACAAGGCAGGTCCTTTCTTAAGCACCAAGGGACCCTGCCAATCAAAATGTTAAGGAAATATAAATCTAACAGTTCCTGAAAGAGGGCAACAGGAGCTTTTTTTAAGAAAGCAAGTAGCTTACGAGTTGCTCACAGAAGATGAATAACTGGAAACCAAGTTCCTGTAACATACCAGACACATAATGTAAGCAGTTAGCTTAACTCCTTTCTTGCCGTGAAATGAGGAGAGTATCATTGAGGAAAACAAATGAATTCTTACACGTCTAGTTGCTGACAACTAGGCTGAGCTCTCCCCGTAAAATTGTTGTAAGACAAGTCACTGGAGAGAAAATTGCAACATCTTAATTAGGGTTTTAAAAAGAGGAATAGCTGCATGTTATCCTAAAATTTGGATTTCAAAGTTGTAAATAACAAGAGCAAAAGACTTACAAGCTATCCTTACTGTTCAATACCCAACCAGGTACTTCTCCCGACAATGAATTGTTATTCAGAAACCTGCAAGGTTGTTAAACAAAACATAACTCGATGAACATGGCAGTACAGATTTGGAAAGAAATGTTATTATTAAATTTGGGTACATCTTACTCACATGTATTCCAGACTTTTCGGACTTTGGAGGGTGGCTGGTATGGTGCCTGTCAAACTGTTGAAGCTCAAATCCCTGCCAAAACAGTTGAACATAAAGACTCATAATTATTCGTATGGACTAGAATAGAAAGACAATATCAAGACTTAATCTTTATTAGCTTCTGACATCACTTCTAAATCTAAAAGTTATCAGGAAACTGCCGAAATGAAGCAATGCCTCTGGTGAAAGCTGCTCTCTGGTGACTTACAAAGTTTTCAACTTTGTTATTTCTCCAAAGTTATCTGGGATTGGACCAGTGATCAAGCAGTTCCTCAGTACCCTACGAGAGAAACAAAATGTCATGATTTGACACAATTCACCAAGGGAAGGGCACGGTTTGAGCTTCAGATTTGGTAGGGATTTAACAGAACAACTCACAGTTCTTTCAGCTTTGACAGGTTCTTAATATCAGGGAAAACTGAACTTGGTCCACTTAAATCAGATATTCTCCTGTTAAACGTGACTGATCTCAGGCACTATAGCAAGAATAAGATGTATACGCAAAACAGTTAAGGAAGTGCAAGAAGTTACTCACAGCTGTGTCAGATTTGTCAGCATGGATACAGCAGTAGGAATAGGACCCTGCATTGACGTGCCTTGCAAGTCACTGAACAAAAATAAGGTATCATTTTTGCCACAACAAGAGGTGTAACTAAGCAAGTGGAGGAAGAAAGGAAGAAACTTGTGCTGTTTGGGGTATAAATTCTCACAGTCGATCAAGATTGGACCAGTTGCCTATAAATTCTGGCAGCTTTCCGGAAAGACTGCTCCCATCTATCCTACTGAGATTCAGCATAAATTTCTATAGTGAGCATATGGTGAGAATGAAATCAGGTTTCAAGTGAAAATGGAAGAAGACCAAACTTACAAGTCTTCTATGTTCAGTAAATTTCCCAAGCTATCTGGTAACGAGCCCGTGAAATTGTTTGCAGAAAGAAGGCTGCAGCAAACAAGAAGCCAAACAAACAAACAATCATTGACCATCAATTCTGCATTGATAGTACAGACTTAGGTAATAGGTTTCTGCAAAGTTGAAGACGCAGAGGCTTTACAGTCGCTTCAAATTTTTCAAGTTCCCAAGGCTTCTAGGAAGTGGTCCACCTAATAGATTATCTTCCAACACCCTGAAAATGCAAACTCTGTATGAGAATCAACGGTTGAAACTGTGACTAGTGATTGTAGTAAAGCTCCATAAGTAGTTGCAATGAACATACAGATGCTCCAAAGTAGCAATATTCCCAATTTGTGAGGGGATAGGGCCACTTATTCGGTTCCCCAAAAGAGACCTGCCAAAAAGTCCACAGAAGAGCCAATCAAACAACTTA